ACCGGCGCCCGGCCCCGGGAGACGGGAGGGTGTGGTGGTAACCGGCGCACGCCACCACCCGCATACTCGCCTCCGGTCCTCTGTACTGTCCTCGCCTTAACGCCGCGAACCCGAACGGAGCCGCGGTGCCACGCGCGGTGTTCGGTGCCGGGTGTCCCTTCAGAAAGGTCACCATATGCGGGTAGTCCTGGAGCGGTGTTCTGGCTGACCGGTGCTCCTGAGAATGGAACAGCTTGCCTGCAAACTGAGTTTAGAGAGTTTAACTGGGAGGCGTTGTGCTGAGAAACAGTAAACAGTAGTAGTAACGACAGCTGCTGAAAACACGGTGGATGCCAGAAATGAATGACAACACTCCAAATGTTACAAAAGAAAACTATATTGTAAGTACAGTACAAAAAAACCAACCCACAGTGTCTTTGTACAAGTGTAATCTGGATCAAACAGCAAGAAAATAACAAAAATATAAAAACTAAGTCTTGCCAAAGTTTTCCCTCTAGTACCAAATACCACAAGATACAGATTATACAAAGTGTACAAATTTTAATAAAAACACCATACACCAGGGTTGTGTGTGTGTGTTTCACTCCTCAAAGAGGTTTGTTGTACAGATGACAAAGCTAAAGCTGATCCCCTTCTGTTCCTTAGAGAGCAGGTCCACACCTTCACCACGATGTTCTGTTGTGAAGGGCTGGAAAAGAGCCAGTGATTTTGTGTTGCTCCCAACAGCACATGCTTCAGGACAGGCTGGGATCCGCAGCAGGATTGAGACTGCCTCCCTCCTGGGCCCTTCCCAATTCCAGGCTAACTGGGATTAGTCACACATTGTTAAAACATGTACGGTCTGGTGCGAGGCTTGGACTGAGAACATGTATAGTGGTCTGAGAACCTTCTGCCTCCTCCACTGACTGAGAAAACCTAACACTGCACTGAGAAAAGCTCTGTAAGAGACAGACTACCTTGTACAGGCACAGCTGGGGAATACGTGGCAAAGAGGAAGGGGAGGAAAAACCCTCCTACACACCTGAGGATTTAAACATGATTTGGGGCTTAGCCACAATGAGGAACATCTTGCTTTCAACTGCCTTGAGAAAACAGAAGCTAGACTTCAGACTGGAAGTAAAAAAGCTCTCTTCTCATTTAAAAACTTCTATAAGGCAGGAAAGGCTAGAGTTAAATTATATTTCGGTTGTTCTACCTACCTTCACAAGATAGCCTGTTTCTGTAAATGGTTTAAAACCTTCCTGGTGTTTCCCCATACAATGCCAACACTTACTACTACACAAACAGCTGATTCCTGCAGGAAGTGGGGAGAAGCAAACTTGATTTGTATTTTCCACACACTGTTGGTGGAGAGAGGGATTTCTGCTTTTAAATTATGTATATATATATATATACACATATAGAGAGAAATATACAGGATAAATTAAAATCTGTTACAGATACTGGTAAAAGTTAAATACATACGATGTGAACACCACATACACGTACATACAAACACACAAAAGCCTATATGAGAATCAAGTGCTCTCTGGAAGGTCCTCTTCCAGAGGAGCAGAAAACCAAACACCAAATATGTGGCTGGAAGGAAGGGGAATTGGTCCATTTGACCCACATGTGCCTTACTCAGCCGTAACTGCTTCAAAGTGGTCACTACTCACTGCCTCACAGCAGCACCATGGCTCTGTCAATACTGCTGGTGAAAGGGACAAGCAATCTCTGAAACCAAAGCTGTCTGTTCACAAAATAGGTGCAAGATGGGCAGAAACAATCCAAGGTTTTCCCATCTGCTTCCATGCTCTCCTCCATCAAAGCAGGCTGACCATGCCCTGGAAAAATCAGCAGGAGGTTAATTCTCTCAGGCCAATGCAGTTGGTTGGTATACCGTGCTCATGACGATTTGGATGCAAGTCCAAAAGAAAAGATCAAATTTGTTGTCATTTTCCACTGTACTTCAAATGCCAGCTGATGCTGACAACTTTCGGTTACTACTGTCTGAAGAGGGGCAGTTAGAAGAAGTGACCAAGAGGCAAAGACCTCTCTATCTTTTATCAGCTATCCAGCTTTCCCCTCAAGTAGCAGATTTTAAACTGAAAAACATTTAGAAATAGGGCTGGTGAAAAGTTCAGTTCTATTCCTTGGTCCAAAATATATTACCATCTCTACCTGCCCAAAGAATATCAGAATACTTTAGGTTGGAAGGGATATTGGGAGGTCATCTGGTCCATCCCTCTGCTTAGAAAAAGTCCGACTACAGCAAACTGCTCATTCAGTGTCTGAGTATCATCAAGCATGGAGAGTCAACAACCAATCTGGGCCATCTGTTTCAATGGCCCCTTCTCATGGTGACCTTTTTCCATTCTCTGGCTGTTTCCCCGACTAAAGGATATGAATTTAAGGCGAGTATCTCAAAAGCTTTCTGAATTCTTTGTACAAAATACTTTCAGATTGGAGGACATTTCACCCACCAACACAAAAGGGTTTTCTCAGCTTAACTTCACAACTTTTCATAAAACACAAGTCAAACAGTTACAATCCTATGTATATACTACACAGATATAAAACTTTAAAACCCTACACACGGAGCCCTTCAGGAGTGCCAGCGTAGTGCATATGTACACAAGTCAGTTATGCAGAGGTTGAGTTCTCTTTCCCATTAAAGTCCAGGCATGATGTAGGCGATGTTGTCTAGTGTGTTTGACTGGGAAAAGAAGGTCAGTATTTTTTAGTGTCAGGTAATGACTCAAAATCCTTAGAAAATGACAGAGACAAGGGTATTAAGCATGTCTTACAAGTTATCATATGATGAGACAACCCGATTTGTCTGGTCATCGCTACCAGTGCTAGGCTTATGTTCACTTTTTGCAAATCAAAGTTAACTAAACAGAAAGGTAGCCTCAGTATTTGTAAGCACTTGGAAACAATGAAAATATTTGAGGCTTTCCCTGAGTGCCTTCCTCCTTATGAACCCTATACTCTATCTTGGAATTTGAAACAAACCACACCGCCCTTATCACATCAACCACAGGAAAGACAGAAATAAGGATTTGAGCAAAGTGATCAGAAGTTTAGCACATAAAAAACCCAACATTACTTGACTCACAAATCCTTTATAAAATTATGTAGCATGAAAGAAAAACCCTTGAACGCACCCACTAATAGGGTGTCAGATAGGAAAAAGAAGTGCCCTTTTGCAGTTTTTCTTGCAAAACATTACAGAATTCTGAGAATAAAAGTCCTTCTTGTGCACACCAGAAAACAAGACCCAACAGTATATTATCTGTATGTTCGGCAAATGCAGTATTTCAGTTAGCTCAAGCCTGTGGCTGGACGGCTGAAGGCGGCCCTAGGAATATCAACTTTTAATTGCTGAAGACAGAGGAGCTAGAGCTGAACCAGTTGTGAATTTGGAATTCAACAATGCCACCTACTGACTGAAAAGATAAGTTAAATTCTACATGCAACAGGACCACTGACAATTTTATCCATCTTAAAACACCACTGTCATTATGTATCTGATATTGAAATCAGAATAATTTATTTACTGTCAAGTCTGAATGCCAGTTTTCAGAAGTGAAGGGTAAGTGCCTTAATACACCTAAAGTGCCATTGCTCCTTGTAACAATAAGATGATCAAATTTCCAATACAGGCACCATTAGTCATGTGGTGTCTTTGTTCTGAATGTATTTGGCAAGCAAGAAGGAAAAAAAGCATAGGATGTTCTCCCATGGGTTAGGATGGGGACACCCCACTGACTCAGCTTTTGTGCAGAGAGCCAGTTTGTGGGAGCTCACAGCCTAAGCTGTCAACTTTTTTGCTGTTGCTAATTGTCCAGTCTCAAAATGAACCAATGTTTAGGCAGCTCTTTTACAACATGCCAATTCATATCCCATTTTTTGTTGTTATCTGAGAGATTTGTTTTTAATTTCTTTACTTCTGCAGACTATATATTCATTTTTCATTTCTGCTCCTCTCCTTCACTGCTTTATTGATGTCTCCTGTTGGAGGTATGACTCCTGATTCCTTTCAGGCTGCTGCCATCTTAACCTATGTCCACATCATGCTACATAGATGCCACAAGCCTTTGCTAAATTATGGCTCAATATTAGTAGTTTAAAGTGGGAAAGAACCTTTAGTTATGCAGTTCCTTAAGACAGAAGCTGTTTTATTTTCCTTGGAGAATGTTACAGACAGATGTAAAAGGCTCTGCTCAATCACATTAGTAATCCTGAGATGACAAGTTATTTTTTGTGCTACTAAAGGAAAAACAGATTGTGTGATACAAAGCTAGAAGGTGAGGCTTATTTTTATGAAAAATTAAAGTTTTCATAAACAGTGGTATTTGTACAGACACTTTCATTTGATTCAGATGGATTGATTCAGTCACTAAAACATGACCTACACCCACTGCAATCAATGCTACAAATACTAGGCCAGTTGCCACCGGGAGAAAAAAAAAGTTGCACAGTATCACATAACAGTAACATCTGAAAGAATTTCAAGAAATATTCCTCTATAAAAGTGTATGACCAAGACAATTTTCTTATTGCTCTGGAATTACAATCACATAGTAAGACTGATGCATAAAAACCCTAGCTGGACTACTGAAATTACCAGTGCTAGAATGGAAATAACCGCAAGGAACTCACCAAAATATGCTTAGGGCAGCCATTCAACTCAGGCAGTTGTGTGGTCAGACACGTTAATGGGCCCAAAGCACAGATGATTGAATCTAAAAGTACTGACAAACTTCCTGAAACAGCCACCATTCCCTGTAAGGAGAGAAAAAAAAAAAGGATGACTAGTGGAAATTATGGTTCCTTCAATTCTCATGCAGATACAGGATCCTCACTCTTGCGCAAGTGGTGTAGGAAAAATACAGGGAACAACTGAGAAGGTCAGAAAGTTGCATAAAACACTTAATTCCAGATTTTTTGTAAAGTCAGTTCTTTGCCATTTCGTACCATTTATTTTGTTAACTACGCAAGTCCTAAAGACAGTGGTTGGTTTATTATTAAATCTAAAGAAATGCTAAGTCTGTAACAAATGCTTTAGATATTGATATACTTTCAGGAAAGGGAATTTGCTTGTGTGCCTTTCTGTAAAGAGGGAGATTTTCCTTTGGTTGTTCCCCTGAAGAACAACCTCAATCGGTCACACCAAAACCAAAATGCAAGGACATTTATTTCACTGCTGATAAAACAAGCAAGCATAGTGGCATGAGATGATCACACTAGCCATAAAATTCAATTACATTATTTGAGCCAAATATGTGTTCTCCTTATAGGCTGGGCTATCATCTAACAGTAGGTAAATGTTAAAATATAACAGCTTCTACATTACCGGGTAAGTTGAAACAATAGTAGCCCCTATCAAAGCACTGGCAATATGATACTGCCAGAAAACCACAGGACATGCAAAAACCATCTTGGTAAAGGCTGATGGTTTTCTAAGAAGGCTTGAGACAGTAACAGAAACTGGACCAGAGACTGGCAAAGACAGCAAGGAAGTACCAGATCCAAGGTGAACATATAGTAAGAAAAGACTGAAGTGTTTCCTGAACTAAGAATTGCTTTCAAAGACCCAGAGCTGCAAAGGACCTGTCTGTCTGTGATGCCTAAGAAACAAGATGTTTTACTTCACGGAAAACAAAGAGCAGTGCATCAGAGAAACGGGACACACCATCTCTAATTTCTCTTCCTAACACAAAAGCATGGGTTAAACTGGTAAGTAAAATAAAATAGTAATCCCCACCCCGATCCTGTGTGTAGATGACATAACATCACCATGGCATTGCTGGTTACAGACTCACCTCTGTTTCCTGCAGTCTGTGTCCAATAAGGCTCAGAGATTCACCCAGCAACTGTAAGTGTGCAGCTACGTCAATAGGATCTGTCTCAGGGGCTTTGGCTGGTGAGGAAGGCACCACTACAGTGCTGGTGGGGGATTTCTTATGAGGGGAAATCACTCCTGTTGGAGAAGCTGGAAACAGACAAAGTCAAATTCCATATTATCTTCTTTCATTCTTTTACTTACAAGCTTATTTACTTAGTAAAGTTCAAATCCCACAGGCAACACTATCTTCCCTGTCTAAGAAAAAAGACCAGAGCAAATGAAGTGCAACAATTACCTTTTATTTTCGGTGCACCATCTGAAGGTGATGCCTTTCTCTTCACAGTAGTAGCCTCTGCTTTATTCTGCTTGTGTTGGAGATACTGAGCTTTCTGTTTCCAGATCTGCAGTCACCATGGCATGAAAAGACATATTCATAACATTAGGCAGTTCTGTTACCTGATGCCAAGACCTGGAGGCAGAATGACGCTAAGTAGCTAACTGGTGAAGCAATACCATGAGAAGAAAATGGATGCTTTTACAATCACAAGGGCAGTATTTCCATACTTTGGGGACATAGGTAGTATTTTATAAGCTATGGTGGCAATGCTGCCAGCATGTTCCGACCTCAGCACCTAGTTTACAGAAATCGGTTTACAAAACCATCTCACACACACTCACCAGTTTATCCTTCTCAGGTAGCTGCTTCCACACTTCTGCCAATTTTTTACTTAACTCTCCAAAATCTGGCAGGAGGAAAGAAGAAAACTGTTTAAAACAAATGTTTAAAAAAAATTAAATAATAGTATCATGGAAAGAACACAGGAAATTTCCTGGCCCATGCATACACATTTAGGAAGCAACTCATTCCATAACTGGAACTCTCCACAGTGTCCTGAAAATGACTGCCAGTGTGGAATCCCAGTACTGTTTAAAATTAAAACAAGCCAATACTGGGAATATGAAGTCACATGTACATATACAGGAAGGTAACACAATGAAAGTAACTCTCTAAGTAAGAAAAGAAAGAGCTAGCAATTTCTTCATCCGGATTCACAGCTTGGTTAAAATACAATGAATCCAAGTAATGAAATCCACTCCTGTCCCCTTTGCCACCTCTTATTCAAAGAAAATTGGCAGATTCTTTGCATTCTGCGAAGTTACAGAGGTTGGTATGAAAGAGAGATGATATGTTCTGCTAATTAATCCGACTGGTGTATGATCGAGATGGTGAAGAGAAGGCTGGATTACTGTCTCACCTATTCCAGGGTGCTCAGACACAATATTCGTACGATATTCCTTACAGAACACTTGATAGGCAGACATGTTTTTCTTCTTTGGCTAGTCAGAAGAAAAAGAAACAAAGATTTTTAATTATCATAACACCTACTTAAGCAAGAATTTGACATTTATTGAAGACTAAAGGAAAGACATGGTGCTTAGATCAGGAACCTAAAAAAGCAGTGTTTCACATGTTCTGGCTGAATGTGGTGCTTACGAAAGCACACGAACCACCCAGAACCAGTCTTAGTACAGGGCTTATCTTGCAACAACTCTTATCAATGCATTTCATTCATAAGTTTCAACAACCTGCTATTCTCAATTCAGGATCAATACACATCTCTGTTAATATATTTCAGTTCAAAAACTTAAAATAAAAAAAAAATGTATCTGTACCACTATTCATAGTACCTAGTATAGATCTGTCAAAACAATTCAGCTGTCATCATGTTTTGTTCCATCTTTCCAAAACACTTCAACTGGCAGGAAAAGAGACAGTGTAAATATACTGACAGCAGAGGCATAAGCAGTTGCTGAGCTATGATCAGGGAAAACTTACCAAAATGAACAGAATCATGGCTGAACAAACTTGGGCCCATTTACGGACACAAAGCAACTCTTGTCTATCTGAACTGAAAGAAATTGCTTTTCTCCATTTATATATTTACACCACTACAACTGTATCACCTGTAAACTCATTCATATGCTAACTACCATTTCTCCTAGTCACATTTTTATACACTAACCATGGGAAATTGAATTTATGGGTACAGAACAAAAGTGGGAATGTGGTAGTCTGTAAGAATTAGAATTTCATTTGAATACAATAGTAAATGGGTGAATGTCTTCACATGCCAGGCTAGAGCTTGATTCCTTTTTACAGGAACTGTGATGATGGACTAGATCACCAGTCAGAAAGTCTGCCTGGCAACAGGTAAAACCAGTTACCTTAGAAAATGATGCAGTTGTGCTTCGTACATAACCAGTACCAAGCAAATTAAGTATAACCTCTTTAAAGAACTTCTATCGCCTGAAGACTGCCTGTGCCACAAAACCAGAATGAAGTATATTCCTTTCACTACAGAGAGAAATCACAGTGGCCGGCACATTTTCCCAAACATGCTTCAGTGAAACCATAGATCCTGGTATTACTTATCCTTCTGTTTCAATTCAACATGCCTTTGTAATGGAGTGCCTAATTCATTATTATCCACCACCCAATTTCTATTTTTCCTCCGATTTTTCCTTACTTTTTCTCTGTCTCTTTCTCTTTCCTTTTCTCTGTCTCTTTCTCTTTCCTTTTCTCTTTCTCTTTCTTTTTCTCTTTCCTTTTCTCTTTCCTTTTCTTTTTCTCTTTCTCTTTCCTTTTCTCTTTCTCTTTCCTTTTCTTTTTCTTTTTCTCTTTCTTTTTCTCTTTCTCTTTCTCTTTCCTTTTCTCTCTCCTTTTCCTTTTCCCATTTCTCAGCTTTGTCCTTCTCCTTGTCTTCCCTTTTCCTTCTCTTCTCACTTTGACCATCTGAGTGAAAAACAGCAGGAGGAGGTGGAGGAAGAACATAGTGGGTACTGGGAGGAGGTGGTGGTGACACTGTTACTTCAGAAGAACTGTGCCCAGAGCTCTTTTTAGACTTAGAGTGCTTCTTCTCTCTGTGTTTCTCCTTGTCTTTCTTTTTCTTACTTTTTTTTGACTTCTTCTTCTTCTTGATTTCCCGGTAGGAGTCATCTATCACTAGCTCTCCAGCCTCCAACTCCCCACCAGAAGAGGAGCCAGATTCTGGTGGTGCCTCCATACCTGAAATCTCATACTCGCTCCCATGGCCCTCTGAAAAAACGGAGGTGTCAGCACCAAAACTCTCAGAAGGTGGATGTGAGTCTGGAGGTGGCTTGTGCTTCTTCCGGGATGACTTCAGAAAGCTCTGCTAATGAGCCTTGCTCATCTCGAGCTGATTTCTTTGAAGATTTCTTTGAAGCTGCTGGTGCTGAAGAGTAAGAGAAAGAATCATCGTCTGCTGCATTACTTTTCTCTTTTGGTGAAAGGATGAGCTTCATCTTCAAGCCATCAGGCTCACGAAGAGTAAGCGTCTCTGTGTTCACATAGAGAGGTTTCATTTTTTTAGATTTATGGAAGCTACCATCATCCACTGAGTGCTCCCCACTGCTGCCACTCAGCTTCTTCTTGGGGTGCTCCTTTTTGCTTTCGGAATGGCCAGATGAAGAATAAGATGATTTTTCAGAGGTCTTCTTTGAAGACTTTGAGCTTGTGGCCAAAGGTGAGGTGATAGCCTTGAGTAAATCCATGGTTGTATCAGCTGAGGATGGGCTAGAAACAGCTTTTTTCTTCTTCTTTGATGGTAGATCCAGAGGCGTAACACCTGAAAAAGGTCAAGAGAAATGTACATAAAGATGATTCCCGTAAAGGTAGCATTACGCTAGCACAAAGAACTGAAGTAGAAATAAGCAAGACATGATTGCAGCCGACAGATTTACATCCTGGCTTAAACAGAAGATTTCTGAAGCTTGTAGCCAAATTCATGAATTCAGGAAAAGTAATACTATCTGCAAGCAAAATTAAATTTTGTATTGCAATAGGGAAAAAAGAAATGTGAACGTCAAAAGGGAAGGAATAGGTTAGAAAACTACAATTTTTCAATGAAAAGGGGGTGGAAGATCTCTGCTCCCAACAGTGGCAACTTGTTAAGCTAGACTCTGAAAATATCATTGCCTAATCTTCTGCTGTCTGGTACTGATCAGCATCAGTTTTCTGATTACTTGTCCTGAGACAGGTTGATGTACTCTATCCCCATAAAGCATTAACCACAAAGTTTGATGACACAGGTTTAACAGCATCCTTGCCACAAAGTCATGATCTGTTAGCCTGTTCCCCTGCTTGATTACTATCTTACCTCTGTAGCAGAACTCATCAGAGGAGTGCTTTTTCTTCTTTTTGTGAGGTTCTGTCCCTGGAGAACGCTCGCTGTCCTAGGATAAGAAGAATAAAGTTGCTGACAAACAAGAGGGAAATAATATGAGATTCACATGGATTACTGACACAGGTAATAATCTGTAGGAGATATCAAGAGTTATTTGTACTATGGTAACATCAAGGAACCCTAGGTATGAACCAGGATCATTATTATAGGTGCTAAAACAAGCAAAGCAAACATACTCTCTTCCCAAGAGCTCTCAGTGTAGATTTAAAGTAAGAGACAAAAAACATGGTAAAGGTATGAGGGAGAATACAAAGAACTGTATTAGTCAGGTTTCATCTTAGCACATCAGCCACCTAACCAGCACCAAGCTTTCTGTAGGCATTACAGCACAACTGGGCTATAAGGAAATGGAAAAACAGACCTCTATAGGTTGCTCTTACCGAGTGAGAGAAGCAATACACCAGAAAATTTGAAAAAGCACATTTGAAAGCGTTACGAAATGGGCAATAAAAGCCAGCACTTGCAGTTCAGCTGTTAAGTTGATAAAAGACAGATATCTACCTCTTAGTAAAGCTAAGAAATAACTAAGCATACACAGGCTGTCAAGCCTTGAAAATGAAGGTGAGCAGTTCATGTTTAATGGGCTGAAAAAGACAGAACAAGTGAAAGAAGGTACAGAGAGGTGGAAATTAAAATGATGGGCCAAAAAATTGTCCTTAATATGTCATGTCACCCAATTATCATTTGTCTCTTGACCGATTTATGGTCTGAAATTGAAGCTTCTCTTCAGAATTCAATCTGCATGGTAGAATACTTGAAACAAGAACTTCTTTTCCAGATGAAAAAAAAAAATAAAAAAATTACAAGGTAGTCATCTTTGAGTAACAGCAGAAATTTTAACTTAAGCTGTCACTACGTGATTTCAGAGTTAAAGCCCCTAAGAGGTGAACAGGGCAAGTTCATACCTCTCAAGAGGTATCGTTTCAGGCTGTCTGCAGAATTAGGAAGACAACGGTGCATCAGTTAACATTATATTCATCCTTTGCTAGCTATTCATACAATGATAAAGTCTAAAATCATGAAGATAGTTCTTCATGCTATCTTACCATTTGCATGGTTCTACAACAAGGCTAGGACAGCACCCTACTATCCCATTTTCTGAGGCCTGAAAAATCAGTATCAGCTGTAATTGGGCTTGACCCCCTCCTTTTCTCCAGGAAAGTTATTGAACACTACAGGACACGATTAGCTGCTCTTGCTGTCTTCGACATGCATTTCTGTACCAAAAAGAACAAGAAACCCATCCATCCCATTCCGTCACTAGCTTTATATATATCCTTACACCTTCAACCTGTTCTCTGAGGGCTTCCTGACCTGAGTTGCTATCTCATCTTCCTCTTGCCGCAGATCCTTGTAAGAGCGCTTTTTCTCTCGCTGTATCCTGCCAGTTGCCAGCCCGTCATCAACACTTCGGTCACTCTCTAGGAACTCTAAGATTTACATGAAATGGAAAAAAAAGAAAGAAAGAAATTAAATACTCCACTAAGGAACAATAGACATGTGGACAAAATAAGAGAACAGTGGACGCTGGCAGAGTGATGCACAAACCCCAACAAGCACAGGGACCTAGAAGATTACAATTTGTACTCTCTGACCACAGGGATGGGGCTCAGTGCTCTAATACTGTGCCGTGGACTTAAAACCACAACATGCTGTAACACAGTCATCAAGATTTCACTTCTAACCCTTATATATTTCCTCCTAAAGACAAATGGACCTAAAAATGTTATCATGACTAAACATATCCTTATCTCTGGTCTCCCATTCCGTTGACCTGGCAGGGACAAGAACAGCTGCAGTGGCAGAATTTCCCTGTAAACATCAAGCTGTTTGCACTTGGAAATACCACCTATTTCTTTCATTTTTATGCCAGTACTTTACACCTGGAAGTCAAGGGCTTGGGATCCTCCAGCAAATTGGCCAGGTTTAATTTAAGGGCTCCACAGCATACCAAGTTCCTTTCCCACTCTGACTGCATGGCCTTGGCAAGGACTGCAGAGGGTACCCCCTTTTTTATCAACGCCCTCTGAGATTATGAAGCAGTCATACCTTCTTTCTTCTTGGAGTCATCATAAGCCATGGTGGTCCTGCAGGAGCCTGAGAATGTGTTGCCACGTCTGGGCTCCTTCTCCCGTTCCCATCTACAGGAAAAGGTCTGAGAAACAGAGAATGAAAATAACCCTCTCATAAAGAACCGTGATGTAAAATGGGAAACTTCCTCTGAAGCAAGTGAAGATTCTCTGGAAGACAGCGGGAAAAGAAAGGAGTCTACCTTCTGGTTGGTTCATGCTCACTCTTCAGGGTTGACAGAATACTTTTCTAAAATGAAATCAGAGGTTGTTCTATCATTTTAAAGATACAAAATACCACCTCTTCCTTGTAAAATCTCCAAATCACTGAAGTAGTTTATTTACAAAACCAGAAAGAGGGTGAGAAAATAGCTGAGTTGGATTTTCGTGCCACGCAAAACTGCACCCAAACTTGTGTCAAAGCCATTTTTTTTTGGTCAGAAGCCACTGTAGCAAAGAGTGGGATGTTTGAAGAGAGATTTCAAACCCCTGAATCTCAGATGAAGTGAAGGAAAAGAAAGAACCGGGCAGAAATCATTGTACTACAAAAGAATTGTTTCAAATCTTTTCAAGTGAAGGATTGCAAGTTCTGTAGTGAAGGTGTGCATCCTTCTGGTATGTTTCCCAACACTACCACTGCAGCCGTTCTGAATGCCAGCCTAGGAGAGGGAATGGAAGAAAGCACTCCTTTCACTAGGCCTTGATAGCACCACAACCCCTGGCAGCGCCCAGGTTTCAGGCCTGCTGGAACTATGTAATTCTGTCCCATAGTTGCTGGCATAGAGCAGGACAGTGTTCTTACGGAATAGCTGCACTCTGGTTCTCTCAGAGTAAACAGCTATAGTTCTTAAGTCAGCGACCAGCTTAACATCCAAAAAGCAACCTTCTGCTCATAAGCGATTAAACCTTAATTGCACCTAACTGATTTTTTATGTTTGTGTGTATGTGCACACATAGAATCACAGAATGGTTTGGGTTGGAAGGGACCTTAAGACCCATCCAGTTCCAACCCCCTGCTGCGGGCAGGGGCACCTTCCAGTAGATGAGGTTGCTCCAAGCACCGTCCAACCTGGCCTTGAACACTTCCATGCGTAAGCATTCAGCCACAAAGACCTTGTGGCTTGTTCAACCTTGCCAGTGACATTTGAATACTTTGAGAGCAGGAAGCTCTTGTACATCCCTCAGCTTAAACATCCCTGTATGTACCCCAGTTTTATAAATAACTGGCTGACGCTGAGAATGTACATATTAATGTACAACATAATCCTATAGTGGTTACTCAAGTAAAACAACAAAGTCCCAACTAAATCAAGCTTGCAGTTACATGGGAGACACTTCTGTTTAAATTCGTAGGAATACATGTAATTTCTTCAGGTTTTGGGAAACCACCTACCACAAAATGCATTAAGTACTGACTTATATGCTGAGTATATATATTGGTAGCAAGCACAGCAATTTGTAGGCAGAATTTATGCACTGCACTTTGGGATAAAAAAAGAGTGTTTTGCAACTTATAGGCTCACAGTCTTGAACCAGAATTTGTCATCATTTCATGATGTTCAGATGTGACAGGGACTTCAGTGGGAATACACCTGATACTAAAGCACTGTGTTCAAGAGGATAAGGACCTAATCTAGATACTGCTCAGCAAAACAAAGCTGAAGACAGTCATTCATGAAGGGATGATGTGAAGAAAGTATGGATGATATGGAGAAACTAAGATTGTTTTTTAGCTACATGCATACCTTTTACTCTTTTTTTAAACCTTATCTGCTTGGCAGGTATAAAGGTTGATAGATAACACCCAAAGGGGCTTATAACCTAAGCCTTTAACCCTGCAAAGACCAAACATTCTTAACTAGCATCATCTATAAAGCCTTATTTGTTTCCCCTCCTTCAACTTCTTCGGTTTCAGCAGAAATCACACAGGTTCAGTGCAGCTCTCCCTCCACATCTCCCTTTCCTCAACGCACACGCCAGCGGGACCAAGGCCAAGCACTGCTACTCCGCAGCCCTCGGACCCCACAGGGACTCCGGTCCCCAAGGAAGGCTGCACACCCCACCGGCGACCGACAGCGCTGGGTGGAAGCGGAGGGGCGGCGCTTCAGGCCGAGTTCCCTCGCCCCGTTCCCCGCCAGCGTTCCCGGGGACCTGGACGAGTCACGGGGGCAGGCGGGAATCCCGAGCGCGGCGGAAGGGGACAAACACTGACACCGGCCCCACGGCAGACCCGGGGCCAGGACCAAAGCGTCCCGCACC